CAGATACATGAAAAATGCTCAGCCTCATTAGTCATCAAAGAAATGCGGGTTAAAACTACACTGAGATACCACTGAACTCCAGTCAGGATATCCATCATCAATAACTCAAAAAATAACAGATGCTGGAGAGGATGTGGTAAAAAGGGAACACTTCTACACTGTTGGTGGGAGTGTAGACTACTACAGCCTCTGTGGAAAACAATGTGACAATTCCTAAAAGATCTAAAACTTAACCTTCCATATGACCCTGTAATCCCCCTACTGGGAATATACCTAGAAGATCTCAAATCACTCTATAAAAAAGATACCTGCACACATATGTTTATTGCAACTTTGTTCACAATAGCAAGAACATGGAACCAACCATGCTACCCATCAAAAGAGGACTGGATAAAAAAAAAGTGGTAGATATAAACATTGGAATATTACGCAGCCATAAAAAAACAAAATCATGAACTTTACAGCAACCTGAATGGACATACAGTCTATAATACTGAGTGATCTTTCACAGAAACAAAGGACAATGTACCACACATTCTCACTCATAAGGGAACCTTAAACAACTATCATAAGACTGTAAGAAAAGTATTGACAGTAGCAGGAAACTGTGGGGGTTAGGGGGAGAAGGGGGATTGGCAGTTGAGGAAAACTGCCAGGGAGGGAGGGGCACAACTCATCAACAAGGGTACCTGCATAATGAACGGTTGTATACCCTACCCTGAATTGTACCCCACATCACTAAAATAAAAATAATTAAAAGTTATTTTTTAAAAAAGAGAGAACCTAAAAAAGAAAAAAACAAGTATGGTCTTACAACAGCAAGGCAGTTGGATCTCTGCACTGTTACTCCACAGGCCCAAGGCTTATAGGCCATAGGGAAAGGGTACATGTGATCTGTGCAAGACAATTAAAGGCAACTCTCTACAATATGCTGCTATATGTGTCATAAGCTATAATGTGTATGACAACATGAAGGTTGGCATGTTCTTACACTAAGAACAGCAGTGAATGATCAGGAATCACAAGGCATTCATGGGACTAGACCTAATCAAAAGTCAACATGGCAGATTAGCATCCAAGATGGAATCACTTGTGTTAACACAGCGTGTTAAAATGCAGAATCACATGATACAACTAGTTATAATGCCTCTTTTTCAATTTCAGTCTGTAATCGTTCTTTAGTTTTCCATCTTTCAGAGTATAGGATATGTATATATATATATTTGTCAACCAAAAATCTTATATCAACAAAAATACAAAAAAGAAATAAAAATAAAAACAATCACAGATTTAAGAAAATTCAATGTATATAAACTGTTCCTGAATTTGAACTTGTCTGATGTTCCTAAAGAACAATTCAGTATATGCACATCTGGCAATAATATCAAAAAATGATATTTTCTACTCATTTTTGGTTGACAAGCAATTTCAATCTGTTCAATTATGATTTTGCTTGATTACTAGGATCAAAAAGTGTCTGGTGTTACCCTCCACTATAAAATTAATTATTCCAACTTTGTAATTTAGAAGTATTTGGGGGGTAGACTCTTTGAAATTTAGTTTGTATTCCTCATCAAATTTTCTTTTCTTTTTTTAATCTACCTCTAGGGGCTGTCATGAAATTTTTTTTACTTTATTTTATTATAAAGATGTGGGACACAAGTCAGGATTAGGTATATGAGTGGTTTACAAGCAGGTTAAGTTTGGGTCTACATCTGGAGCTCATTTCACCTGGTTTAGGATCCGGTTGCTTTAGTGAGGTTATAGCCCCACATACACCCTCTGGCAATGTCCCACTATTGCCAATCTCTTTCTTCTAATATTGTGATAAATGTTCAGGACTCACTTATAAGTGAGAACATGTTGTATTCAGTTCTTTGTTTCTGTGATAGATCACTGAGTATGATAGACTCTAAATCCATCCAAGCTGCTGCAAAGTCCTTAATTTTGTCCTTCTTTACAGCTGTGTAAAACTCCATGTGTGTGTATGTACCACATTTTCTTTATCTAGTCCACTTTCAATGGGTAGCAGGGTTGGTTCCATGTTTGTGCCATTGTGAATAATGCAGCAATGAACATGCATGTGCAGGTGTCAGTTTTGTAGAATGATTTGTGTTCCTCTGGGTGTATTTCCAGGAGGGGGATTGCTGGGTCATAGGGAAGGTCAATTTCTAGTTCTTTTAACAATCACCATCTGTTTTCCATAGAGGTTGTACCAACAGTGTAGAAGCATTCCCTTTTCTCTGCACCCATGCAGAGAAATATGTATTGATGAAGCATTATTCACTATGCCAGTATCTGTTGTTTTTTGATTTATTGAAGATGGCCATTTTTACTGGTGTTAGATGGTATCCTCATAAAATTTGTAATACTCATTGAATTTTTTTAATTCTAGGATTCCCTCTATTTTTATTACATTTTTAAAGTTTTTTTGATATAAGATTGTTGGTTGACTAGTTTTTTTTCTATTTTCCTTTTTTAATTTCAGATTCTGAGGGTATAAGCACATGTTTGTAACATGGACATATTATGTTGTGATGAGGATTGGGTCTCAGATGGCTCACTCCACAGATAGTGAACTTTGTACCCAGTAGGTAATTTCTGAACCCTAACCCTCTTCTCCACCTTCCCACTTATTGGTCTCCCCAGTGCCAGTTATTTTAATCTTTGTCATTTAGTTCCTGCATATGAGAGAGAACATATGGTGTTTGATTTTCTGTTTCTGAGTTAGTTCATTTAGGATTGTACTCTCCAACTGCATCCATATCATTGCAAAGAACATGATTTCATGCCTTTTATGACTGTGAAATATTCTGTGTGGGGTATGTATGTATATTTGGTTCCATAACTTTGCTATTGTGAAGAGTGCTTCATCAATACATATTTAATTTTTAACATCAGTAAGCAATCATGGATTAAATTATCTTTAATGGATTTTTTTTTCCAAAATGAAGGATTAGAGGCTTTCAGTATAATATCTTAACTGCCTGAAAACAGCAAAATAATGTGGAACCATAAACACATTGAGTTTCAATTCAAGGAAAACAGGAATTCACTGGAGCAGCAAAGGACATACCAGATCCCAGGGAAGAGAAGGTGGGCAAACAGCCCCAGAAACTACATTTAGCAGATAAAAAATAAGCCCATTGCCTGAGACAACACTGAGTTTCTCCCAGTAAACAAGGAGTAAGTAAATACCCACCCACATTAGCAGTAATCAGTTCTTACCCATAAGTGCCACCTGCTGGCCTTGAGGTTGAATGATGCAACACAGTAGGAAATCTGCCAACAACAGAGTACACCAATGAGAAACAAGACAGATTTTCTGAGACCATTGCCACCCTTGCCCCACATGAGACAGTGAGCTGGTCATCACCCCCAGTATATCACTACTATATCCAGCACTTGGAAAATCTAACATATACAGACTACTTCAAAGGAACTTACACAAACTTCACCACTGAAATTACCAGAACCCACCTTTAGAAGGCTGAGGTGAGTGGATTGCCTTTGAGACCCGCCTAGGCAGTGAGACCTCATCTCTACAATAAATCAAAAAATCAGCCGGGTATGGAGGCGTATGCCTGTAATTCCGGTTACTTGCAAGGCTGAGGCAGAAGAATCACTGGAGCCCAGCAAGTCAAGGCTGCGGTGGCCGGGAGCAGCCACTGCACTCCAGTCTGGGCAACAGAGTGAGACTCCAACTCAAAAAAAAAAAAAAGAAAGAAAGAAATTACCAGAACCAAAAGCAAAGAACCCTACACAACATATATTATAGTCATCTTGTCAAAGGAAAAGAAATTTGCCATCTGAACAAAAATAATTCAAAAAAAAATAAGAAAGAGAAATAATTCATGTATATGAGACTAAAACAAATAATTAACTCTGAAAGTATGATGCCACAGAGTGTTGGACCTACAGAGGCCACACTAACTCTCCATAAACAAATCCTAGCCAAAATGAGATCATTGAAATTTCACAGAAAGAACCTGCATAATCAACGTTTGTATACCTAATCCTGAATTGTACCCCACATCCTTATAATAAAAAATAAATAAATAAAAAATTTTAAAAAGAAATTTCACATAAAGAATTCAAACTGTTGATTTTAAAGAAACTTAATGAGATGCAAAAGAAAGCTGATAAACAGTGCACACACATAAAAAAGGAGAATAATCCAGGATGTAAAGGGAAAGATAAACCAACTCTAAACTTTTTTAAAACATTTTTTAAAACTTTAATTTGGGGAAGACGGTGGCAGAGCTGCTGTGAGTGTGTAAGTGTGTCTGTGTAAGTTGATGTGTGAGAGGAAAAGAGAGCATGTGGATGGGAGTGTAACTGGGTGTACAATTGCCTGAGCAGAAAATTGAGAGCTGATGACAGGAGCTTTTCTCACAACTGTCCATGTGGGACAGGACCAAGCACTATTTTTCCAAAAGAAGTAAGATTCTCCTGGAGAAGAAAAAAGTAGGAGGTGGCCATCACCAGCATCCCGACTTACTACCAATGCCTCTAGCACCAGGCTAGATTGCAAAGTCCCACCACCCAGAACTGGATTCCGGAGACTGTTGTACTTGCTGGGGAGAGAGCTGATTCCCCTGATCCTCACGTGTGGCTGGAATGGCAGTCTGTAGAGGAACTGAACAGCCAGCCAGCCAAAAGCCTGGGCAAAGAAGTGCTCCAGGGTGGTCTCCACGAAACAACAGAACTGTGTCCTAATACCAGAGAGGATCTCTGCATTGCTTTGAGGATGCTCTCTACAAATCCAGAGAAGATCTCCTCAAGTGTACAAACCCTGATGGGTAACAGCAGATGCAGAGTAACCTACCCACTCCCTACCCTGAGCCAGCTTCTGGGAAATAGACACACACAGAGGAGAAAAATCTGACCAAAAAAGGAAAATGGTGAGTGAGGGGCAAACTGTCTTCCCCAACCCCCAGCAATGAGCTAAAGAGATCAGGAGGGCAGGGTTGAGGCTGGAGACACCATTCCTACATGAAATGGATGCCATGGGAGCTGTGACCATGCTAGGAGAGGAAGGGAAGGAGAGAGTCCAGGAGATACTGAGTCAAGTTGCCCTCTCCTACCTCTCCCATGTCAGCTATCAATGGCAGGCAGCAGGAGGTGAAGATTCTAACATCTCAAGTTTCAACAGCAAAGAGGGAACCTTCAGTGACAGAATCCACCACAAGAGAGAGTTCCCCCATTTTAAAGAGATATAGTAAAGTTGAGAAATTTCTACCAGCTGGTTTTGTTGTTGTTGTTGTTGTTTTGTCTGGCTTGGTTTGGTTTGGTTGTTTTGGTTTTGGGGTTTTAGTTTTTTCTCTTTTTTGTTTAAGATTTTTTTGTCTCTTTTGTTTATTTGCTTCCTTTTTTCTTTTGTTCTTTGTTATCCCTTTGTTCTCCTTTGTTTTTCTTTTCTCTTTTTTCTCTCCTTCTTCCTTTTCTTTTATCTCTTATACTCTATCTTGGACTTAGGAACTACATGAGCATACCCATTGTAAAGTCAGATTATGTGGAGACAGAGAAAAAGTCTCAGGTGACCCATTCACCAGATAGCACTGTGACCCATCAATAGGTTCTGAAAACTTGCAGCCCCTCCCTTACCCCTTAGTAAGTGCTCAAACCCCCAGCCCTATTTCATAATCAAACAAATCTGGAGGCCTGACTCAGGGAAGGACAGGAGGTAGAGAAATAGTAGAAGGACTTGCTTCTCCATTTCCCACTGAGCAATAGAATTAAAGAAAAAGATAACTGCCACAAATAAGAAAAAGCCATCAAAAATTCACTAGTAACTCCAGAGTCCCAAAGAAAAAGTACCTGAAATAGCAACTACTAGGACACAAACAATGGCTACCTCCCACAAAGACTGTATCCAAAACTTACAACTATAAGAGAATGGATAGAATGAATAAAAATCAAAAAAAAAATTCAAGTGTCAAAACTCAATGAAATAGCAACAGAGGTGGGCAGACTGAAGAAAGCATATTTGCAAACAGCAGAAACAAAGAACTTCACCCAAGAAATAAATAAACTGACAAGCATAGGAAACAGAATTGACCAAGCAGAAGAAAGAGTCTCAGAGCTGGAAGAACAAAATATGATATTAAACCTAACTATTTTTTAAAAAACAGAAAAAAAATTAAGAAGAAACTCTCTAAAAGATGTAAGATTTTATCAAGAAGTCAAACCCACATCTGATCAGTATTCCTGAAACTTGGAACAAACATTCCATGTGATCATCCAAGAAAGCTTTTATCATCTTGCCAGAGAGTGGATTATACAAGATCAAGAGATTAAGCGCACCTCTGCAAGACATTTTATAAAAAGACCATCTTCTAGACATATAGAAATTTGCCTACACAAAGTAGGTATAAAAGAAAAAATTCTAAAGGCAGCAAAGGATAAGGGTCAAAGTCTCTACTGGTGAAGACCAATCAGAATTACTCCAGTATTAGCTACAGAAACACTACAGGACACAAGGGATGGAACTCCAATTTTTAATGTTTTCAAAGATAAACAATTTTAACCAAGAATTTCCTAGTCAGTCATGCTAAGCTTCATCAGTGATGGAGAACTAAAATCCTTCCCAGACATCCAAGCCCTAAGAGTATATGCTGATTCCAGACCAGCTCTACAGGAGATGCTTAAAAAGGTGCTGTGCACAGAATAAAAAAGAAACAAAAGAAAGACTGTGCACTTCACATGATCACAAACACAGAACTAACAGAACATACAGCACACCCACAAAAATGAAAACACACACATATATTAATGCACAAGTTAAAAGAAAAAAAACAGCTTTATAAGAACCTTATGACAGGAACAAACTCTCACGTTTCAATAATCAGCCTGCACCACTGAAAAGACATACAATGGCAAACTGGATAAAGAACACAACCCAATAATATGCTGTCGCCAGGAAACACACCTCATGAAAAAGGGCACCCACAGACTTAAAGTTAGAGGATGGAGAATAAGTATATTCAGGTGAATGGCAAACAAAAAAAGACAGAAGATCTGATTCTAATGTCAGACAAAACAGACTTCAAACCATCAAAAGTTTAAAAGGATACAGAAAGACACTTCGTAATGATAAAAGTCTCAATCCATCAGCAAGAAGTATCCATCTTAAACACATATGCACCCAACACAGGAGCATCAGGATTTATAAAGCAACTACCAAGCAAACTAAAAAAGGACATTGAAAGGAGGGCTGCTTCGTCACTTCCCAGGGAGTCTCGGAAGCCAGGGAGCTGAAATTACCTGGAACTGCCACTGTGGAAAGGTACCATGCACAAGGGGACATGATAGCAAAAAAGACAGCCTCTGTGCCTGCCCAGTGGAGTTGGGAAAGACAGACATGATGGCAGGTGTGGTTGGGTTTATCAGCCTCGTCCAGGGAAGCAAAAATGTTTCCCATTAAGTGTTTCCAATGTATTTTCTGGCACCACACAGAATATCATCTCTGCAAATTCTACAACAGTTTATCCTTATTGCTCACCTACCTACTCTGTGGTCACTCCCAGCCTACAGAACACCATCATTCATCCAGTTGGTGAAGTCTCACCTGCTATCCAGCTGCCCACACCTACAGTCCAGTATCCAAACTTCATCATGCTTTTCCAACCCAGCATCTCTGGTGCTGCCCAAGTGGCCTTCAGGCTCCAAGTATGCCCCCCCCAGGACTGCCACCCCAAGTCTTTGCTGGGCCTTCCCAAATGGACACTCATTGGCTACATTCTGGAGCCCGTCACTCTGTAAAAAGACCCACCCCTGTCTCTCTGGAAAGCACCGATAAGATTCCAAAAAGTGCAAGTACTGTCCATGCCAGATTTGCAACCCTGACCATCCAACCTCCCAAGGAGTATTCCAGCTTTACTACTTGTCCCAGAAGTGCTCCGATTCCCAGGATCCTCCCATTCCACATGTCTACCAGCCCTCTCCCCTTGGCCACCCAGTTACACTTTTGGGGGCACCACCGAGATCCTCTTTTCATCACCCTTACTTCCTACCTGGACCTCACTATTTCCCATCAAGCACTTGCCCTTGCAGTCGGCCTCCCATTGGCTATGGAAATTTTCCAAGTTCAATGCCAGAATGTCTTGCTTATTATGAAGACAGGCACCAAAAACATGAGGCTATTTTTTCAACTTTAAATAGAGACTATCCTTTTAGAGACTACCCAGATGAACACACACACAGAGAAGATTCTCAGAGCATGGATGGGACCGCTTGCTATAACAGCCACAGCCACAGTGGGGATGAATACTTACACCTGGTAACTCAGCTGGACATTGGGGCCTTGGACATTTTCACAGCCCTGGTGTCAATGCCACTCAGCATCCAGCAGGTCAATGTCACTGACAGTGATGAGGAGGAAGAAGAAAAGGTGCTCAGGAATTTATAATTTTAAAACAAATATGTGCAGCAAATAAATATTTTTTTTTTAAATGTATTCTGGGTCAGTTGGTGTGAGAAAAAAGAAAGTCTAGAATGCTTTGCTGAGTTTTCAGCCATGATTTGAGAAGTCAAAAACAAATGCAATTTATGCCTTCATAAAGTTCTGATTCATGAAAGTGGGGTCCTGATGTCTCACCATAGTAATATTTAATGTATGAAGTCATTTATTTTGATGACTGAAATTTGCATCAACATGTATTATCATTACTTTATCTTGGACAATGCAAAACATGAAGCCTCACAATTGTATGTGAGGGGAAATGGAGCGCAAGTGTGATTTGTATTTTATCTCAGGATACATTTATTTATTTTTCTTAAATGGATTTTTTGTTTGGTGTTTATGTAATATATATGAATGTTGTCAGTTTTTATATAACTATTTGAAAATATTTGGATAAATTTAGTAGTGAACTGGGACTCAGTTACTAAACATAATTATAATAATGACCACTTATATGCTACAAATGTGCTTTAATGGCACCTGGGTAATTCTTTTAGATAAATATAGTCATTTCTGTTCCTAAACATTTTTATCATCATTTTTCAATATCTTTTTCCATTTAGTATGCATTATTCTATTTTTGGTATAAGTAAATAAACATAGATAAAAATTGTTAAAAAAAAAAGACATTGACTCCAACAGAATCATAACAGGGGACTGAAATGACCCACTAATAACCCTAGATTATCAAGGCAAAAAATCAGGAAGGAGATCCAGTGCCTCAATTTGACCAAATGGATTTAATATATATCTACAGAACACTCCACTAAAAAAACATGGAATATACATTCTACTCATCACCACAAGGAACATACTTCAAGATTGACCCTATTCTTGACCATAAATCAAGCATAAACAAATTCCATAAGACTGAAATTATCCCACACATCTTCTCAGACCACAATGCAATATAAGTAAATATCACCACCAACAGGACTGCACCAAAACACACACAAAGACATAGACACTAAATAACACACTTCTGAATGACTCCTGGGTCAACAAGGAAATTGAGACAAAAATTAGAGGATTCCTGGAAACTAATAAAAACAAAGATACAGCTAACCAGAATCTCTGGGATGTCAAGAAAGTAATAGTAAGAGGGAAATGTATAGCTCTACAAACACATATTTAAAAACCAGAACGATCACAAATAAACAGACTAATGTCACACCTAAAAGAGCTGGTAAGGCAAGACTACCAAAACCCTACCTGCAGCAGAAGATTCCAGAGCACCAAAATAAAATCCCAACTACAGGACATACAAGACAAGAGTATCATAGAAAAAAATCAACAAAACAAAAAAACTGGTTCTTTGAGGACAAATAAGATAGATGCTCCTAGTCAGACTGACAAAGAAAACAAAGAAAAAGACAAAATAAAAACAATCAGAAACACAAAAGATGAAGTTACAACTGACCCTGAGGAAATTTAATAGACTATCCGAGATTACGATGCACACCTGTAGAAAAACAAACTCAAAACCTAAATGAAATGAAGGACTTTCTAACATCACACAACCTCCCAAGGTTGAAACAAAAAGAAATTGAAATCCTCAACAGAAAAATAAGAATTTGACTCCATCATAAGAAATCTACCTACAAGCTGGGTTCGGTGGCTCAGCCTGTAATCCCGCGCCTTTGGGAGGCTGAGGTGAGTGAATTGCCTGAACCTGTGGGTTAGAGACCCACCTGGGCAACGAGACCTCATCTCTACAATAAATCAAAAAATCAGCCAGGCATGGTAGCACATGCCTGTAATTCCAGCTACTCAGAAGGCTGAGACAGAAGAATCGCCGGAGGCCAGCAAGCGAGGCTGCAGTGGCTGGGAGCAGCCCCTGCACTCCACGACTGAGTGAGACTCCAACTCAGAAAAAAAAAGAAAGAAAGAAATCTACCTACAAAACAAAGTACTGGACCAGATGGCTTTCTACTGGAATTCTACAAAAAGTTCAAAGAGGAACCAATACCAATCCTATTCAAAGTATTCCAGTCAATTGAGAAAGAAAGAACTCTGCCCAAATCTTTTTATGAAGCTAACATCACACTGATACTCAAACCAGGCAAAGACCCTACAAAGAAAAAGAACTACACGTCAATATCCCTGATGAACATCAATGCAAAAATTCTTAGCAAGATTTTAGTCAATAAGATCTAACATCACATCTTGAGAATATTCCACCACGACCAAATAGACTTCATTCCTGGAATTCAGGGCTGGCTCAACATCCACAAGACCATAAATGTATATCAACAGATGTAAAAACAAGAACCACATGATTATATCATTAGATGTAGAAAAGACTCTCAACAAAATCCAGTATCCATTCATGATAAAAAAACCTTTGAACACCTAGGTATAAAGGGAACATACCTCAAAACAGTAAGGTACAGTAAACCCACAGCCAACATATGGCTAAACTGACAGAAATTGGAAGCATTTCCCCTGAAAACTGGAACAAAGACAAGGCTGCCGACTCTCACCCCTTCTATTCAACATAATGTTGGAAGTCCTAGCTAGAGAAATCAAACAAGAGAAGAAAATCGGGGGTATCCATATGGGAAGACAGGACAATATGATGCCATATCTTGAAAACCCAAGGGAATTTGTCAAAAATCTTCTTGCACTGATAAAGAAGTTTGAAAAGTCTCAGGGTACAATCAGTATGAAAAAGACAGTCACATTTTTATCCACCAACAATCAACAGGCAAATAACCAAATAAAAAGCACAATCTCATTCACATAGCAACAACAAACAATGAAATACCTTGACATCTTCCTAACCAGAAAAGTGAAAGGCTTTTCCAATAAAACTGCAAAACACTGCTCAAAGAAATCAAAGATGACACAAACAAATAGAAAACTATCCCATGTTCATGAATTGGAAAAATCAACATTGTTAAGGTATCCATTCAACCCAAGGCAATCTACAGATTCAACTCAATACCCATTACATTACCAGCATCATTCTTCACAGACCTGGAAACAGCAATGCAGAAATTCATATGAAAAAAAATTAACATGAATAGCCAGAATAATCCTCAGCAAAAGAAACAAAATAAGAGATTTCACACTTTCCTGCTTTTAACTTTATAACAATGCTACCATAGTCAAATCAGCCAAACATTTGTACAATAATAGGCATATAGACCAATGGAACAGGATAGATATTCTGTAAGTTAAACCTCAATTCCTCAACCAACTCATCTTGGCAAAGCCTGCACCAACAACTATTGGGGAAAAGATAATCTATTCAGTAAATGGTGCTGGAAAAATTGGCTGACCATATATAGAAGATTGAAACAAGACCCCTCCCTATCACCATACCCAAAAATCAACTCCAAATGGATCTAAGACCTAAATGTAAAACCTCAAACTATAAGAATCTTAGAAAAAGGAGACACCATTACAGAAATTTGAATAGGCAACCAATTCCTGATCAAAATCCCATGCCATAAGAGACAAGATAGACAAATGAGAACTCATCAAACTGAATAGCTTCTGCAAAGCAAAAGAAACCATCAAGGGAGTGGAGTTGCAGCCAACAGACTGGGAAAAAATATGTGTCAACTATATATCTGACAAAGGCATAACATTCAGGTTCTACAAGAAACTCAAAGTACTGAAAGGAAAAAAACAAATAAACCAATAAAAAGTGTGCAAAATATATGAATAGACACTTCTAAAAGAAGTGTCTATGAGCAGCCAACAGATACATTAAAAAATGTTCAACCTCACTAATCATCAAAGAAATTCAAATCAAAACCACATTTGGATAACACCTAACTCCAGTCAAGCTGAGCATCATTAAAAATTCAAAAAAACAAATGCTGGAAAGGATGTAGAGAAAAGGAAATGCTTCTACACTGTCTCTGGAAGTGTAAATTAGAACAACTTCTGTGGCAAACAGTGTGATGGTTTCCAAATTATCACAAAATCAATTTTCCGTATAAACCAGCAGCCCCCTTTCTGGGAAAATATCCAGAGAAATTTAAATCATTCTACAAAAAAGATATATACACATGCATGTCTATTGCCTCACTATTCACAATAGCAAAAACATGAAACCAAGCACGCTGCCCATCTAATGTGGACTGGGTTTTTTCTTTACTTTTTTTTTTAATCAATATTTTTTATTATGATTTTGTGGGGTACAGTTAAGGGTTAGGTGTACAAATACGTTTCATTCAGGCACCCTGTTGATAAGAGGTGTTTCCCCATCCCCAGACAGATATTTGCGACTGTTAATTCCAACCGCCTCCCCCCCCCCTGGTTTCCCAGTACCGTCAGTCATTTTCTTATAGTATTACATTGGATGTTCAAGGTCCATTATATGAGTGAGAACATGTGATACTCGGATCTTTGTTTCTATGAGAGGTCACTCAGTATTATAGACTCTAGTTCCATCCAGGTTGCTGCGAAATTCATGATTTTGTTCTTTTTTATGGCTGCGTAGCATTCCATCGTGTATATTTACCACATTTTTTAAATCCAGTCCTCTTTTGATGGGCAGCATGGTTGCTTGAGTTTCTTGCTATTGTGAACAATGCTGCGAAAAACATACGTGTGCAGGTATCTTTTTTATAGAGTGATTTGAGGTCTTCAGGGTATATTCCCAGGAGGGGGATTGTGGGGTCATATGGAAGTTCGATTTTTAGAGCTTTTAGGAATCACCACACTGCTTTCCACAGAGGTTGCACTAGTTTACACTCCCACCAACAGTGTAGAAGTGTTCCCTTTTCACCACACCCTCTCCAGCAGCTGTTATTTTTTGAGTTGTTGATAATTGCCATTCTGACTGGAGTTAGGTGGTTATCTCAGTGTGGTTTTGATTTGCATCTCCCTGATGATTAGTGAGGTTGAGCTTTTCTTCATGTGTTTGTTGGCTGCTCAGATGTCGTCTTTTGTGAAGTGTCTGTTCATATATTTTGCCCATTTTATGATGG